GGAAAAAAAAATCATATTCTCTGTGCGCAGGGGATATGTGCGGACATAAAATATTCTTTGGGGTTCTGGGTACAGTGAATGATCCAAGTAGTGGATGATTCAAGACAGATCTTTCATCAGGTTTTTAATGAGGCACAATTCTGTGGCATAATAGAGGTGCTGTAAAGTTTGGTTGTTTTTCAGGCAGCAATGATGGCTGAGGAGCTTAAAAAGGAGCAAGACACTAGTGCTCACTTGGAGAGAATGAAGAAGAATATGGAGCAAACCATTAAAGACCTGCAGAAACGACTGGATGAAGCAGAACAAATTGCCCTGAAAGGTGGCAAGAAACAGATCCAGAAACTGGAATCCAGGGTAAGTTTGCAATCAAACTATAGTTCACTATCCCTCGTCTTATAGAACTGGGACTGGGTAGATGGCCTAGGGCTGCTTGGTAAGTTTATAGAAGCTGATAACAGATGCTGTGAATGCTTTCCTCTGTTTCACAGAAAGCAGGTGAACAGTTCTTGGAAACACATTTCCCTTTTATCATTCAGTTACAATGAACTGTTGTAGCACAGCAGTTGGCCAACTTCCTCATGAACAAAATAGTGAAAATTTTAAAAAGGAATGGCACAACATCTAAAACTGGGAAAGGCCTCTGCTTGCTTCATTTGAACATTTTTTTCTCTTGCCAAAATTTCTATCGAGCATCTGGGTTTGAGTGGGATCTTTGACTGCTGGTTCACCTTAAACGCACGTAAGAAAAGTAGAATGGGAAGTAGAATGATCCATTTTTGAAATTCAGCTCTATTACGATGTTGAGAAGATGAACAATTCTTGAACTGCGAAGTACATTATCCACTGCATTATACATATAAGGGCAAGAGCTTTTTCTTTTTTGCAGGTTCGTGAGCTGGAGAATGAACTTGAGAACGAACTCCGCCGCAACTCTGATGCCCAAAAGGGAGCCCGCAAGTTTGAGAGGCGCATAAAGGAGCTGACTTATCAGGTGACCATGGACTGCATAGCCACTAGGTCCCAGTGAAGCATAAAGGAGGGCATCACCCAGAGCTTTCTGATTGCAAGAAGCTTTATGGATGGGACGAATATCTTGTTAGGGCTACTATCATCTTGCCTGATTCACTGTAACTAATGGTATAAAGAATGCTATTGCTGGGATTTGAATTTGGTTTTAGCATGGTTATAAAATGGAGCAGGCTTAAATGATGATTCACACTGCCCAGAAGAATGCCCAGCTGTCTCTCAGCTGTGCTGATGTTGCTAAAAAGAGGATTCTGATGCATCACCAGGTGTCGGGCTGCCCAGTCCCAGAGCTCTGACACTTACCACAGGTTTACTAACAGCTGCTCATGCTGCTTGCCTTTCAAAAAAACAAAACCAAAAAAACTTCAGTACAGAGCACTGCTTCCCTGGCTTTTGACAGTACTCTTAAGATAATCCTATCCACCTGTTTACTCTATTATTTAATATCATACGTGTTGTTTTACTCTGACTTCTGTATGCAGAGCCTGAAGGTTGCTAAGAAGGCACAGGCAGATAGAATTAACTGATCTGCTTGTTTATGGCCTGCAAAAGCTTAAAATTGGTGCATTTTACCAGAAATGCCTTCAAAACAGATTTTACAAAAATCAAATTACATATATTTTAGGCATGCCCATAGGCCTGTTTCACTCAATAATGACACACTCTGTAACAACAAGTGCTTCTCACCCCCAAGCAAGGAATTTTCTGTGTATGTATAGGTATACATGATGTAAATACACAAATACAGAGGCTACTCTCTTTTAGTCCCCAGCCTCCAAGATCTCACACATCTTCAATCAGCCTGCAGAATCTATGTGCAGGTTGATCTCAATATGACTTGTTCATACTTCAGACAACATGTTTGCAAAATAATATACTTACCAACTGTAATGACTGAAGTGTGGGAAATGCTTTTGGCCTTTATTACACTATTAACTCAATTATTGGTGTTTTGGTACAGTCAGAAGAAGATAAGAAGAATCTGGCCCGAATGCAGGATCTGATAGATAAGCTGCAGCTAAAAGTGAAAAGCTACAAACACCAAGCAGAGGAAGCTGTAAGTGACTATTTAGGTCTTTTTTTCCCTAATTGTGTTATCCAATTACTATTTGCATTTATATGAAGGCTGGACTTATAAATGTATTTACATATAAAATATATAGCATTTGCACTGATTACCTTAGAAGAAATTACTCCATTTTATCTCAGGATTGGAGAGTAATTTGCAGGATGCAAAGGGAAGGGAAGAACAAGAAAGACTTTTTTTCCTGATACTCCCTCAGGAGGTATGTTTAGAGCCTTCCAGTTCACTTAAAATGAAGAGTGCTGCTGGAAACATCAAATCCTTTCTTTGTGGAGGAACAAAAACCCTAACCGCAATAAATAAATAAATAAAATAAACCACCAACCCTCGGCCCTTCAAGAGCCAAATGGGTCCCATAGGGCTGTTACTTAGCCATGCTGAGCCCTTTTGTTATATTTGAAGTGGAAAGCTTTGTTTCTTAGGGATTGGAGGTAATGGCTCTGCTGTTTTCTCTCACTAGGAAGCACAAGCCAATCTGTACCTTTCGAAGTACAGAAAACAGCAACACGATCTGGATGATGCCGAAGAGAGGGCAGAAATAGCTGAATCTCAAGTTAACAAGCTGAGGAGCAAGTCAAGAGACATTGGCATGAAAAAGGTACGGTTTTACTCTATGGGGCAAATGTGACTGGTCAGTACACAGTAGCCAGAAGCTTCCAGATCGTTTCAGAAATGTGATATTAAAAAGCTCAGTTTCTCCCTCCCTTTAATGATGTAGATATCTATGTATGCAGTGGAGCTGGGGGATTATTGCATTAGCAGAATGCCAGTTATTCTAACAATGCTCTTTCAAAAAAACCTGCATTGATTTCAAGAGCTGGATGAAAATGTTAGGTGTTAGCCATGCGGTGTGATTAGTAATGAGAAATACATCTGTGATATTTTGCACCTGAGCAAAATGGTACAAAAGTAAGATTGATGAAACTGAAAGGTGCTACGAAATCAAATCTCTGCCTGACTTTACCTGCCTGATAGCAACCAGGAAAAGGAAGGGCGGTGTTGCTATTTGTAGGAATGTTAGAAGAGGAGCCGGGTCACTGCTTTTATTTGCTTCATTTGCAAAGGTGACACAGACTCCCATACTTATCAACATATAAATGTAGTGGAGGTTAAGCTCCTAAATCAAATAAGAGAAAATAAATCCTTCTATATTATTTAGCTGTTTTTATCCCATTCCATCCCATCACTTCCTTCATTCTTCTGTATCCACAATTCTATGGAAAGGAAATACTCCAATTTCTGCTTTTATAATAGACTATTACAGTCATCTTTAGCTGAAATAAACTAGTGTAGATTCCCTGTCTATAGCAGGGCTACATTAATACTAGATGAACATCTGGTCTTTTACACATTTACACACTTCCTTTAGGGAGAGAATGCCATAGGAAAGGCTTTATTTATAAGCATTTTTAGATTAGCATTAAAATTAGCTTCCTAATACTGCTACCCCTGTTCCTGGAAACTCTAGGAAGTATGTGTGATTCAGAGCAAACAACACTGTATTGTGACATGTCTGCACAGAAATCATCTGCTCTCAAAGGACACAAACAGTAGCATTAGGAGAAAAAGCCTACTCGCTGAAGAGAAAAGATTCAATATCTGTAGCATTTAGTGCTAGTCTATTTCAGCTATAAGCTGGTAATGCAAATAAGCACAAGCATTAGTGAATAGAAGTTTTTGTCATTTACTCGTGAACTTACCCTAAATCCCCTGCAGTGCTTTGTTTTTCAACAGCTATATACTTTCTCAATTGCATTTCAGGTTCATGAAGAGGAGTAAGCGCAGTCCTGGCTCACAGATACAAGATGATGTTTCATACAATCAGGCATAACCAAAAGCAGATGTGTTAAAACAAAACTAAAACAAGCACTTACAAAAATAAATATCAAGTGAAAACCAAAGCACAATGTGAGGTGTATTCCATTCATTTCTATATAATTTCATTTTGTTGAGCCCCAGGCATCCAATAAAGGATTACATACTTCCACTAGCCCACTTCATTATACAGGAACAAATCCTAATTGGCAGGTCTCTTGTGAAATCAAACTGAAGGGCAAATCCAGTCATGTTTTCCAGTCTCAGGGGCCAACCCTTAAAGTCACAATAGCTCAGCTTCTAGCTGTCTTGTCTGCTGGTCAGGGGCTGTACCAGTTTTTTTAGGACAGCAGAAGCTAAACTTCAGACAAACAACCAGTTTAGAAGCTTCTCCTACAATTGGTCAAAGGATTTCTGATCTCTAGCTGCAGGACAGAATTGCCTGCATTAGAAATAGTGTGGCCAGCAGGAGCAGAGATGTAATCATCCCCCTGTGCTTAGCCTGGTGAGGCTGCACATCGCGTACCGTGTTTTGAGCCCCTCACTACAAGGAAGATATTGAGGCCCTGGAGTGTGTCCAGAGAAGGGCAATGAAACTGGTGAGGGGTGTGGAGCACAAGTCTCATGAGGAGCGGCTGAGGGAGCTGGGATTGTTGAGTCTGGAGAAGAGGAGGCTCAGGGGAGACCTCACTGCACTCTTTAACTTCCCAAAGGGAGGTTGTGATGAAGAGGGATTTGGCCTCTTCTCCCAGGCAACGAGCAGGACCCAAGGAAACGGCTACAAGTTGTGCAAGAGGAGATTTAGGTTAGAGATAAGGAAGAACTTTTTCTCTCAGGGAGTGGTCAGGCACTGGAATGGCTGCCCAGTGAGGTGATGGAATCACCATCCCTGGCAGTGTTCAAGAGGCGTCTGGATGAGGAGCTACAAAATATGGTCTAGTGCTTGTGCTAGCAATGGTAATGGGAGGAGGGTTGGACTAGATGATCTTGCAGGTCCTTTCCAACCTTGTGATTCCATGATTGGCAAAATGCTATGGAGGGACTTGTCACAAAAAAACTGCTCATGGCTCATATGTAGTGTTCTTTTAGATTTATTCCACTTTATATTTGGAATTACAACATTCAGTAAAGTGCAAAACAGTAAGTCCTCTCTTCCCCTTACAGTTAAAAACCTCAAAAAAAAAAAAAAAAAAAAAAAAAAAAAAACCCTCAAAAATTGATTTTCTGTGAAACCTTTCTGTTGTCCCTTTAATACACCCAAATTTCAGTTTTTCATGCAGACTGCTCACATACAAATGTCAATTGACTTGCATATGTTTTTTTCTGTCTGCTTACTCGCTTGTTTCTGCTGCTCAGGTAATTAGCCATGTATTTTTCTCCAAGTGTGACTCAGTAGGAAAGAAGTCCTATTTTCTCCAAGCTTACTTTCAGCAACAATCACAGGAGCCTCTGTTTGCAGTGAAAGGGTTTCTTTTAGTATGTCCGGTCATTTCTTCTGCGTCTCTGGTTAAAACAAAAACTTCTGTAAGAACTACTTATGAATCTAATTAATCCCAACAAGACTTTCTTGTGATAGAGGTATTTTCCATTTTAAGACTAGGGTGAGCAAAATAAATACCTACATGACAATGTAGAAGCATTCCTGTCTCTTCCCTCTACTCCTCAATCAACGTCACCAGTGCTGTATTAACCCATATATTGTTCTGCTCCCTCTAAGTTAAAGGTCTCAACAAGTCCCAAGATAAATGGGCAATGAACACCTAAAGGATAGACCAGGTGCTCAGAACCCCGCCCAGCCTGACCTTCAATGTCTCCAAGGCCAGGGCACCCATCACCCCTCTAAGCCTTTGGTTGCCTAACCCACCTTATCATATCTAAAAAAAAACAAAAAACAAACAAAAAAGAACAAAAAAAACCCAACACTTCTTCCTTATATCCAATCAAAATCTCCCCTCTTTTAGTTTGAAACCATTTCCCCTTGTCCTATCACAACAGACTCTGCTAAAGTTATCAGGAAGTATTTGTGAAGGATAATCTACTTTTTCATCTTTTCACAGAGCAGGAGAGAGCAACCTTGTTAAGGGAAGGGCATTTTAACATAATTGCAACCACAATATTGTAGCCTAGAGAGCTTTCATCACACAGAAAAGAAATGAAGACAATTCTCCTATGAAAAGGTTTACCATTCTATATTTTCAGTCTTTTTTTGCATGACTTAACCCATGAAAAACAAATTTATGTTTTTCAACATTCAAATATTCAAGATCTAGATTTCAGATTAATGTTTTCAAAAATAAATCCACTTGTGATTGTACATACCTTCTCATAGAGACAGTATATTATTATACTGATGGTGATAATGGTAATGATCACAAGCACTGTCACGATCACTGTTGAGGTGTTACCTGCATGTTCTTTAAAAATACACATTCCAAAATGTTAAACAAAAGATTTTTATATTGCACAATAATGTTCACTATTTTTCAGTAAGTATACCTGAACTATGATTTTTCTCTTATTTATAATGCAAAACCCTTCAATTTATAGGGAACATCTCAATTTCTTTTTAATGTCACTGATACAGTGGTCAAGTTACTTGACCCATGCAATTAGTGAAGACTGTAAAGTGATACTTTAATGACTTGAGCATGAATAGCTGAGAGCATATTACTTTTCCTTAACTGTGCTGATAGAAAATCCAATATTCTTGTAAGTTACAACCTGATAACTTATCAACTTCCTGGTGGTTGAATTTTGATGACCCTTGAAGTCCCTTCCAACCCAAGCCATTCTATGATTCAAATCAGCCTGATAAACGGTGCTTCCAGGTACAGTGCTCAGTGCCATTAGCAGCACTACTGATTTCCAGTATGACTCTGTATTTTCCAGTCCAAACCACAAATCTAATCATTTCTCATACAGAATCTTCACAACTTCAATCTAAAATGCAATCCAGATGCATACCAAAAACAATAGATCCCCAAATGAGTGGTAACAACAGATTCCACAGGAGACAAAAGCCCATCTATGCATAATTGTTCTAAATTGTTCTATGCAGCACTAAGCATTTCCTTACTTCAGCTCCTTTCAACAATAAGAGAACACTCACGTTTGGAGGACTCTTATCTTTTACATGTGGTTCTATTTTAGGCTTCACTTCTTCTGCTCTGTCTTGTCCAGGAAAAAAAAAACCACAAAAACAAACAAACAAACAAAAACCCTGAGAAGTTCCTACACTTAGCTCTAAACTGTGGGCATTCAGCTTACGGTTTAAGTGAGAATATCCATAGCAGAGCACTCACAGCTATGCTGAGACCACTATCTATCATATTAAGCCAGATCATTCCCTTATCTGCTTACTCTGTTTTCAGCCTGGGCTGACACGAAAATGCTCATCAACTTGGTAAATGTTTTTCTGCTTCTGTATTATGTATTCTGGCCCAGAATTAGTAAAACACGAGCAGCACAGTAATTTAGTCTTTAAATGAGGAGATTGGTGTCTCTGTGGCTACTGTGAGATCCATCTGCAGCGTAGCCAGATAAAAAGCAGCTGAAGAGGATAATCAAGCTCATATCTGCATTGGAAACACGTGTGTATCTCTCTCCTGTAAATGTACAGGGAGACTAACATAGTTGTGCGTGTATGTTAGGAGCATCAGTCATATGTGTAACACCTTGGACGTGTCCTATACTCCCCACTTCAGAAGCACACTATCAGATCTACAGGATAAGGAAAATAATGCTGGAATTTGAGTTTCAAAGAGTTTGCCTGACTCTAAATTTTTACTTAAACTAAGCAATCTCCTTCATATCATTTATAGTCAATGTCATTTAAAGCATAATTTTTCAGTTGTAAATTAAGCTACCACGGGGGAAGACAAATGTATGCAGTTACTATAACTTAGTCAGTTCCCTTTTATGCTGTGCTGCCTCTTTTTCACACCCCATCTATTTGTGTCAAGTTCTTTTCTTAAAAAGCTATATAAGGTATCTATATCAGCTTTCTCAGTCTTTCAGGTGCACTTAATTGACTGTTGCTTATGTGCTACTCTTTGAATGTGCTGGGTTTTTTTTCCCCTTTTTTTGAATTGAAATTTAAGGAGGCACCATCCCAAACAGCACACCACTTTTGAAAAACATCTGTAATTTGTTTGCACTACAATATTGGAAAGCTGGAGTCAACTTTTAACCTCAAGAGTTCTCCGTGGACAGAAGAGTTAATCAGTAAGTTTACTGAGCCAGAGCCAGTAAACAGTAAGCCAGAGACAAAATAACTGTAACTAAGACTTCACAGCTGGAAGTTTATTACAGTTAATAAAAACAAAGGCATGCAGAAATGCATATATATTTCCAAGTCTTAGAAAGGCCTAGTGTGTAGAATTAAACCTTTTACAGTAACAACCATGTTGTTCTTCTCAATGAGGTTTCTTCTGCAGAAAAAATACATACCACATCTCTAGGCTTGCCTTAATCTCCTTCCTACTGCTAAAAGGCTTTATTTGCTATTGACACAGCACTTAGTATACAATTGTCAGTTTCTTTATGCTCTTGACTGCACAACCCTCTGTGCATAGAATGAGAGGAAAAAAAAACAACACAGATCCTTAAATATATCAGTGTTTTTCACCTGGGACAGTAATAATGCATTGGCTCTTCCTCTAACCAGTACTTATTATAAAACATTATTTTACAGGTTTCTGATTGATGGTTTTGTTCTGAGCTCCCATCATTTGTCTCCCTCCCTCTGCTATGGAAGGAGCAATAACTTACCAACTTGTAATGTTGTCACTCTAAGTCTTGTGTAGTGAGGTGTTGAAATATTGCACACGTAATCTCCGCTGTCATCCACATTAAGATTACTAATGCTGAGTGAAAAGTTTTTTTGGTCAATTTGAAATCTAGTCTGGGAAGTGTTAGGTGTTCCATTGAAGGAGGCCAGGTCTGAGATAGCTGCATTTTTGTTTAGTTTCCAGGCAACAGTAAAATCTTCAACATGTAAAGTGTTATTGTTGTATTCACAAGAAATGGTAGTGCTACTTCCTTCAGCTTTTGAAAGTTGGTCTGAAATAGATAATTACAAAAAGCTCTCTATAATTACTTTAGAAAATATTATGAAGGTTAGTAGAGGAAGGTAATTAGAGGAGAAAAAAATCCACAATGGACAAAAGTTAAAACTTGCTTCAGTACCTTGATACCACAGTATGTTTCTGAAAGATTTACTTTAAAACCTTCAGATGCTATCATATAATTATTTAAAAAACCACCCAAATTACATATTTCTCCCCTGTGGTTCAGGACCCTGAAGGACTCATTAATAGAAGCGATTTGATCTAGTCTAGATGCAGTCTAAAGCAATATGAAATTCTAGACTTTGGGAGCAACTGAACAGTGGAGCAACTGAACTGTGGAGCTGAAGGTATTAAGAGAGAAAAAAACCCCAACCACCTATAGCCATATATACAATACAATGCTATTTTATAAAGAACAGGAAAGAAATATATTCCCAAAATGCTCCAGTAAGACGGCAGACATGCAATGAAAGTCAAACAAAGGTGTAATCAGATGCAACCTTTTCACTTGTGGGTTGGAAAGACAGATTAACAAAACAGATGCTTGTTATCTGCTGTGGTATCACACTTGAAACCTTCAATAGTCATACACTACTGTAGGTAAATTAAAAACCATCACTGTTCCTCTGAAGCAAATGCAGTGGATGAGGAGCTGAGAGTGCTCTGGGTGTGCTTTAGGAAGCAATCAGGGCAACAGAGGCAGTCATGAATGTATCTGGCAAGGAGCTCTTACAGCGCTCGTGATCCAATTAAAAACAGTTCCTAAGAAACACAAGAGGTTGCAAAGTACCAGTTACTGTAAATCTAGAGAACGCTTAGGACTGCAGGAGTAGGACAAAATGGAGACTTCTTCTTATCCCTCTTTTTTCTTCAGTAGTAATTTGTCTGAATGTAAACAATGCTTGTGGCTCTACACACCCATGCACATCCAACACTGCACCTTAAGAGCATACCTAAGTATACACTTTAAGAGAAGTGCAAAGAGGAGATCAAACAGTACTGAAAGTATTCTGGCAAAATGTGGAGAATGAAGTAAGAAACAAGCATAAAGAGCAGCAAACTTTCCCTCATGTAACCCTTGGGCTCACTAAGGCTTGCAAATATTTTGTCCGAGTTCTTTTTTTGACAAAGCATAAAGTTTGATTATGATGCACCCCCTTGAAATGTGAAAATGATAAAGAAAACATTTATTTTGGGAGAGTAAGGTAACCTTATAGAAGTGCAAGACACCCACTCTTGTTCCTACTTGTAATTTTAACTGATGAGCTTTAAAGAGGCTGATGCAGCTTCTTTCACCGTATCTCTTTCTCCGTATCTCTGCTGGCCCAAAGCAGACTGGATGTAATTTGGCTCAGCATGCAGCTTTATAGAATCATAGAATGGTTTGGGTTGCACAGGACCTTTAAGACAGTTCCAACTCTCCCTCTAGAGAGGGACACCTCTCTAGAACAGTTGCTCAAAGCCATATCCAGCCTGGCCTTGAATGCTGCAAGCAAAGAGGCATCCACAGTCTTGCTGGGCAACCAGTTCCAGTGTCTCATCACCCTACACTAAAGAGTTTCTTTCTAATGTCTAGTATAAATCTATCTTCTTCCAGTTTAAAACCATTTACCCTTGTCCTACCCACCATTAAAAAAGTCCCTTCCCAGTTTGTCTGTAGGTCTCCTAAAGTTACTCCAGGCTGCTATAAGGTCTCCTCAGAGAATTCTCTTCTTCAGGCTGAAGAACCCCAGCAATGTGACAACCAATAATTACAATAATGATGTAGGAAGAGGCTTTATCCCTTTATCTTTACCTTGCATCCTCCACTCAGCAGTCCAGTTTTCACGGGAGAGATTAATATGACAGTAGTAAGTATCAGATGTGTTTATAACATTCTGGTCACTTCTAACAGAAAAGAGAACTCCATTCCTGATTTCCTCCCAACCTGTTTCTGGGATATATGTATTGCCTCGTACCCAAGTTATACTTGGTGTCAAATAAGTATGAAAGGCATAGCACTTCAGCATCCTTGCTGTGTCTGTCTTCTGGTAATCCAGTGCATAAATAGAGTGAACTGTAGATCAGAAAAAAGAAAAAAAAGTAGACCTGTTAATTTCAAAATCCTTTTTAACTTGAAGTAGTTGGTCCTTTCAAATAACACTGAGAAGAATGATTGGAATAAAGAACAAAATTTAGTATACGTGATTTCAAAGGAAAGCTTAGCTTTATTATTGCCATTACCATTCGAAGAAGACACGATAAGTTTTAAGACTCAAGAGTACTAATTACTCTTTTGAAATCACTGTGCAGTAGATTCTGAGAACCAATGCCACACTGTAATGTTACATTTTACCAGCCAAAAAGAAAACACCAGAAGGCCCAAAACGTGCTCTGTTACTGTTAGAGGATTTTCAATTCCACATGGGAAATAATGCCAGTGAAATCTGTAAGAGACAGCCAATTTCCACTGGCACAGTCCAAGCACTTTTGTTTTTTTTTACCAACCTCGCACCTGCAGCATGACATCCACTTCTGTTTTAGCTTTCTCTGTTCCCACATAGCAATGATAAAGGCCCTCATCAGTCAAGGCCACATTACTGAGTTTCAAGGAGGCATTTCCACGACCAATGTTCTGATGAAAAAGGTGTGTTCTGTTCCTGTAATCTGGGTCTTGGCCTTCTAGCTGGTCCTTCTGCTCGTAGTAGCTGTGCACATTTTTGTTCTCTTTCTTCCAGTAAATTACTTCATCATTCCCAGGTGGAAAAGGACAAGGAAGGATGACATCCTTAGAAAACAGCCCTGTTACAGTTTCCTGTTCTCTAGAACCTAAAGCATGTAAGAACAAATGAGTAAGTTATGTTAAATCTAGCTCATAAGTAACATAAGTATTTTCTGCACCTCCTTATCCCTGACAGAAAACTTCTCAGGTTCCAGTAGGTAGAACACTCCTATCATGCTTTTTAATAGCATGCTCTTTCAAAGATTTTCTGTAGCATAGATCCCTGGGACAGCAACTGAGAAACAGCCACACTGTTTCCTTTCATTCATTGTAACTGATATTATAACTTAGGAATATGGTCTTCGAACTTGTCATCAGTTTAGTCAGATTGCCCACTTTAAACATCTGTGTATTCACATTACACACCCCCACCCTAGCAATGCAGTTTCCAGTACATCTCCAAAAATGCCACCTTTGACATCAAATTCCTCTAAGGGAGTTCCCAGCCTCAAGCTGCAACTTGTTACTCAGATTTCAAACGGGGAGATTACAGTGACTTGGGTTACTGGTGATGCTCACAGTGCCAAGCAATTCTGCTGACAAAAGAATGCAATTGTGTGACTGTCAGGAAGGACAGAACTTTTTGAAAAGGATTTGTCACCCCAAAATGGTGGCAGGGAATGCTGTCACAGCTCATGGAGGTAATTAAGGTGCATTGCTCTAAATTAACTTACACAAAGAATATCTGGTTGCTATTCATGTGTAATTAATGGTGCCCTCTCCACAGACATAGCAACCCTGGCAGAGCAATCTGTATGACTTTTCCCCAGCTACCTCAGTACAAAGTTTAATGTACATGGAACCATTTTCAGTACTGACAACCACTGCCTGCTGAAAGGTCATCAACTGTCACATGGCAGAAATGCAGGAAGGTAATAGTCTGTGTGCTCAAAGGCCAAGGCCACAATCTTCCATTCTTCTTCAGCTTAGGAGTGCTTTACTCCACCTTAATCATTAACAATGTTTGAATTAATTCCTCACTTGAAAAATTAGTAACAATTGTCGTTCTTATTTTTCACAAACGAAAGAACTACAACCTACCCCAAAATGTAGCACAAATAGAAAGTAAATGGAGAAGAGATGGTATTTTTTGTCCCTTCATGTCTTCTTCAGTTCATAGTAGATTCATTTCAAACTGATAACAAGAAAGGAGGGAAAAAAAAACAACAAAGCTGTTTCAATGCAGGTAAAATTCTTCAGCTGTATTGTTTTCTTTGTACAGTTTATCAACTAATCAAATCTGTCTGCAATAGGTTTTGACACGTTTCTTGGCATTAATGTTACGAAGTATGCTATACATTTTATAAACATCTAGGCCCTCTTATTACCATGCAATCTATTTTCATTATGTTTTTAAAGTGTTAATACTTCGTGCTGATCTTCAAAATTAATGAATAGGACACACAGAAAAAAACAGCCAAGTGCATTTTTCAAAAAGATGCCTTGTCAAACCAGTTTTTCCATTTCCAATCAGACTCCTGATTACTGCAGAATTTGTTTTTCTGAAGTGGGGAGTTTGCCTGAACATCCAAATACTGCAGTTTTAAAGAATCTTCAGCTGCTGCCTTTTTGATCAAGTGAACTACAAATGTGCATATGGAAGTCTGTGGTAGGAACAAAGAAGATGAAGCTCTCCCATCAGCTTTTCAGGTTCATCGGTCAAATTACACTGAATGAGGAAACTCACCTGCAGAATGATGCAAGAACTTTCCTGTAACTGACAGACCATGCTCTTCCTTCATCCAGGTGTATTACTTCAAAATATAGCAAAACATGGAAAAGAAATTACCTCATGACTCATACAGCTTGCAAAGAGCCTAAAGGGCTTCCCCTGCTTCTTTGTCCCTCCTGAAAGGAGACCTACACGCACTCTTCCTAACTTAGACAGGGCACAGGTTTGGCTGGGCTTGCTAGTCAGTTCTTCTATCCTACACCAACACTGACAAATAGTTTTGACTGGTGTGTGCAATTGTATTTGCAATGCATGTGAATCTTCATCCCAAGGATTTTTGCGTGTTGCTTCTTCCACAAAGCTAGAGTGATTTTATGTATTATCGTGTTTTGTGGAGGGAGCCAGAGGGACACCAAATTCTTAAACCTGAAGTAGAGATTATGCAAGAGTAAAACAACCTCAATATATTAATTTTTTGTACCATTAGCTACAGTGAGTAGCAGCAGTTGCCAATGAAGGAGAAAACAAGTTAGGCAATAAAAAACTGTATGCATCATGTTTTCCTGGATGATGTTTCTATCTGCCCAACACTTCCAAAGTAGTAACACAATAGATTGTCTTTGAATTTCAGAAACTGCAATCAGTGCTAAATTTCTCTTAAGCTGCAGAGAGAGCTCATGAGTTTGGCAGAGAATTCTGGAAACAGGTCTGAGATGGCTCTGTGGCCTGCCTCAGGGTCTGAAGACAGAAGGCAGACTGTCATGCCCACTCTAGCTGTATTCCATGCTGTTGTATCGAGGTACAGCTGGAACTAACTAGAAGATCTCCCTGCTCATTACAATTCTTACAGTACATTAAGAAAAAACTTCTGTTAGTCTGTATGATCGTGGTAATTTTCGTTCTAAGGAATTCAGGATTTTAATTGAGCAATTCTGAATCTAGAATCTCATTATCTGAACACTTTCCGAGTTCTTTCTTTGCACCAAAATATCAAGGCCATTTCATTTCCCATGCTTCTGCAGAAAAAGAAAATTCCTGTGGAACAACCCCTGCCTCAGCTTGATGTGAGAACCTTGGCTAGGATTTCTGAGAGCCCAGTGAGGTATTAAAATGCTTCTTCCAAGAAGACACATATGAGTCACGAAGCAGCTGAGACAGTGGCAGGGGCAACACTACACTTGCTTGGTCCACTATATGAAACAAATGGCAAAAGGCACGTGCTTTATCATCTTGTTGGAATTTTCCATTTTTTTTTTTTTTTCCAATTTACCCACACCCTGGCCAATACTTACCTCTTACCCACTTGTGGAGCAGCCACACATATTGCAACATTCTCTTGCCTCCTAAAGCAAAAGTTATTAGTCCTTAATAAAAGGACTGTTTCTTTGCCTTTTGAGGTAACTTCATAACGGCACATTCCACGTGCAAGCTCAAGAAAGTGAAAAAACATGGCTTTTTACTGAAGAGGAATCACGTGCACAAAGAAATCTGTATCAGCAGTAACCACAGAATGGCTTGGAGCAAGAGGGAATATAAAGGTAACCTACCATGCATGTCCAACCTTTTGACTCGCAAAAACAAGTTCCTGTAGGGGAAAATAAGACTACTATAACAATATATTAACAGTATTAATGCTCTACTGTCCTCCAATGGAGTACACCTTAAATGCCAGCTCTGTGCTAACTCCACACTAACCAAATGCAGACTGCAAATACAACTTCAGTCAGTGAGAAACACTTCTGAAGGAAGAAGGTACCTTCATACCACACACAACATATCACAGAATGGCCAGGGTTGGAAGGGACCTCAAGGATCATGAATCTCCCCCCCACCACATGCAGGGCCACAAACCTCCCCACTTAATACTAATATTAATTTCCTTAGGAAGCAGACCTGAAATGCTTCATTTTACCTCACATAATCAACTGCTCCTATGCCCCAATTCATACACTTTAGTGCAACAAAGTTTTGGGGTTTTTGGGGGGGAGGGTTTTCTTTCTTTTTTTTTTTTTTTTTACCTGTTCTAAGTTCACGAACAGCCAGAGCTCCCAGAACACAGCTCACCCTTGCGGTTCCGGGCAGTGTTTCTTGGCGGCAGGGCGCGTACAGCTTAAAGGAGTGCAACTTAAAGGAGTTTCACCTCGGGGCGGGGCGGGGCGGGGCGGGGCGGTGCACGCCCCCTTTCCCAATCGCTCCCATGGCCACACTTACACTACTCCGCGCCGTTGTCCAGCTCGGATCAGTGCATGCCATTGTCCCTCGGCCTCCCTTTTCAGCTGACTTTTGCTCAACTGAAAAACATCTGACAGGGAACCGCAGATCCCGCTGTTTTCTCACTGCACGGTCACAGGGCAGCAACAACCCAGTCTTCCGCCGGCCCTGGGAGCTGATGGTGGCCTCACGCCGCCGCGCCTCCATTGAGGCGGTCGGTGATTGGCAGAGCCGGTTGCTTCGGCTACGGGCGGTGGCGTGGGGCTCCAAGATGGCGGAGCGGGATGACGATGGGACGGTAGTGGAGCGGGGCCCGGGTGCGGCTTACGCCGCTTTCGTGCTGATGGAGGAGCTGCTAGACAAGCTGAAGCTGCTGAGTTACGAGGAAGAGGCGCTGCGGCGCCACAACATGAGACCGCTCTCCAGGTGCCCCTCGAGCGCTCCCAGCGGGGCGGGACGGGCCGGCTGTGGGGACGTGCGGGCGCGTTTACGGGGACCAGCTGCTGCCTGACTTAAGGGGCTGAATTCTCTTTAGGGCACGTCAGGTGTGGCAGCAGGCTACCTTATTCAACTCGGTTTGATCCCAAATAGGTGCAGTTTGTGTAGCTCGCACAGTAGGTGGGAGTAAGTGGAAGAATTACTTCAGAAGCGCCTGGTCTGAGCTGTGCCAAGTGTAGGTACACCAACCTCTTGCCCATTTGGTAGCTGGGGAATGTGGGGAAAGTCAGTTTAAGAGTCTGTTTTCCTAGCCTGTGCTGGCTTATAACGCTATAATTGCTTCAGGAGCTCAAAATACCACTGTTTACCATTTTTTTCCACTTCCTAAACAGGCACTATTTTGCACTGCCCACTAATCCTGGTGAGCAGTTCTTCGTGTTCTGCACTCTTGCAGCTTGGCTGATCGCTAAAGCAGGACATCACTTTGAACAGCCTCAAGAATATGATGACCCCAATGCAATAATATCCAAGATACTCTCGGAACTGCGATCATTTGTAAGTGCTGAATGTGCTGTTTTTTCAAGTGCATTTCAGGCATAGATGTGACCTTCATAAATATCAGTAATAGCACGTTTCCTGTCCTATCTGATTATCTTCTTAAGGGCTGGACAGATTTTTCCTATCTGCGTGTTTGTACAATGTTAATGAAGCCAAGTTATTAGAGATTTATACTGTCTGTACCTACTTGTTAGTTTTTTGACCCTACAAAAATGGTCTTACGTTATTATATTTAGTTCTAATTAGTGTTGTTCCACAGTCTGTAAAATGGATTTAATCAAGATTACTTCTTATAGTGCTACAAATGCTGTTCATTTATAGTGGTGTAATTTACAAAGTTTGTCTTGGAAGTTTACACAATATGCACTTACTGTTCTGCTCCTGCCGCAGTCAAAAGTGGAACTAAGTGCAAAGGAAGTATTTTTAAATTGTGTTTATGTTTTGAGATTCTCTGGAGAGACATCTGTAATAAATAAGGCAGTGTTTGTTTTTTGTTTTTTGTTTTTTTTAAAGCATAGGTTTAATCTCAGTACCTGGGTTCCTCTGTAGCTGATCTTACCTTGCTGGGATCTCACTTCTGTTCTTAACCATATTTTAGCTTCTCATTCTTCTGTTTTCTTCTTTTTACCATGTTCTTTAGGATTTCTACACTGCATCTATTCCTTGAGTTGTTTTGTTTTCCATTCCTGTTTCCTGACTGGAGCTCTGTTAGAGAATAATGTGAATTAACATTGGTAAAATCTTTTGGCACCATGAACACTTGGGTTTTAGTTCAAAAAATCTGGTTACTGCCTTGAAATAAAATTGACTGAATGAGTAGCCATTAGTAAATCTTTTTGTTTTAGGGAAGGCCTGTGGATTTTCCTCCCTCAAAATTGAAGTCGGGTTATGGAGAGCAAGCCTGTTATGTTCTTGATTGTTTAGCTGAAGAAGCCTTGAAATACAGTGGCTTTAGCTGGAAAAGGTATAGTACACTTGGAAGAATCCTCACATACACATTTTTCAACAAATATAAATGGTAGTTATAAAGGGAGGTACACAAAATATCATATTGTCCAGAAAGGTTTTACTTAGTGTTTCATGAGGTGCAAAATTCAGCTATGCTTGAAGCAATGGAATAAGGTGATTCCTAATGTCATTTCATGCAGCTTAGTCTTTTACCAGCAAGAGTGAGTTTGGGCTATCGGTAGATTAAGTTAATTGATAAAGATTTGACTGACTGATAGCCTCTTTTTGGTCCCTTTCTTGTGAGTAACTGCTTGTTAACCTAACAGTTGATTTGAAATGTTCTTGTATGTCTGTTTAGGTCCCATCAATCAGTAGCTAAATCCAGCTCTTTGGCTGGAAGTACACACCATGTGTGATCCTGTTACAAATAGAGTACTATGACTTGTGTCCTGAATCCAAAGGAAAACTTCACAGAAATCAGATGGCAAACAATTTCAAGTATATGACAATTTGTTGAAAAGTGCTTTTGATTTCATCCCCTCCTCTGTTGTGTTTTTAAATTGTATGGCAAGGTAATTTCTACCTTTGAAGTATGTTATTGATACCACTATTTAGTACATAAATTCCAAAATAAGCTAAAAATGAGTTTGTGGAGACTTGAAGTTTTAGAAGTTAGACCAAAGGAGAAAATGAATGAAATCTTAATCCCCAGATGTCTTAGCGGTGTGAATACACCTTATTGCTTGCCCTGACTACTCATCCTCACTTTTAAGACAGTCTAAGGTAACCAAAGACTTTCAAGGCTGAGCATAAGTTCATTTGTTTAAGTGTGTGAGACAACCACTGTCTGTTCATATTCCACATTATTCATACTTCTTCTGAAATCTTCTGTTTGCTTGGGAGCAGCTCACTGAAGTATTTCCTATTTATTTTTGTCAGTACTTCTTTTGAACTTATTTCAGGCCAGTGTACCCAACAGATGAGCTGGAAGAAGAAGAAATAACAGAAGATGATATGGAATTAACACTTAATAAACTGGAAGAGGATGTTGCAGTAGGTTTGGCTATCTGTTTTATATTATATTAATATTCATCAGCAGTGAAGTAATTTTCACTTGCTGTCCATTTTCTTTGGTTTTAAGAATCTACCAGCGGTTCTGTTACCCTTCTTTCCTGTGTCCCTTGTTTTTGCTGCATTGTTAGCTTCTCTGTGGGATAATTTCAGATGGAGTTGTTAACTCTTCAAGACAGAGCATTTGTTATTGTGTGGATTTATAATTAATATAAAGTGAAGCTGACTCAAACCATCTGTTAAAATTATGTGGATTCAGAATTGTTTGTTTTCTACTGAAACAAGCTGTTGATGTTAAATGAAACCTGAAATAGCCCTTATTTACAGTATTGGTTAAAATTTGACCAGCTCTTTATTAACTGCTTACTGTTGTTACTTACATTTCACTGCAAATGGGAAAACAGTAATTTTGGCCTTAATCTTAAAATTAGTAAACAAAATAGATGGAAAAGAACTTCTGAATATTTATTTAAGCACCTCTGAAGATCTAAGTAAAGGTCACAGCATTTCTTCTTTAGAGGCAGCTCATGGCTGTTCATCACTATGTATTGCTTGAATGGAATGTTAATCATCATCTGTTCTGACTGCAGAATAAGTCTCTTTATACCTTTTTTTTTTTCCAAAAAGATGGCAGTGCTTCAGGATCAACTCTTTTAACTATAATAATTACAATAATGCTGTCATGTCTATGAAACAGTCATTGAAATACTCCTGTAAATTCCAATATGCTTCTTGGACTTACTGGTGCATGGCAGAAATTGTTTCTTGCTGATTGACTTTCCCAGAGAATTATTTTTGTGAGAGTTGGAGTCTCCCTGTCTGTAAACTGTTACTGTTATGTGATCACGAGTTCTTCATTTTCAGTCTTCTCAAAGCAAGTCTTTTTACTGCTGACTTAAAACTTTTCTGGACAAGGAAGTTAGCTGAAGATGATCAAAGTGAAAATTACAAAAAGAAATTGGTTTTGCATCTTATTACTCCGAAATCTGACAGTTTTTTACAAAGTAAATGTAAACCAAAACCCGAGTATTGAAAAGTGTAAGTCTGGAAGTGCTTGTTTGCTTGGTCAGAAAGTTCATAGAATCATAGAATCGCAGGGGTTGGAAGGAACCTCTAGAGATCATTGAATCCAACCGCCTGCTAAAGCAGTTTCCTTGCAGCAGATCTTGCAGCAGATCTTGCAGCAGATCATACATGTGGGCATCCATAAAGGTGTTGAATATCTCTGGAGGAGAGGACTCCATAACCTCTTTGGGCAGCCCCTGCCAGTGCTGTGTCACTGTTGGCAGTAAAGAACTTCCTTGTCTTAGTATGAAACTTCCTGTGCTCCAGTTTCTGCCTGTTGCCCATTGTTCTACTGCTCATTATGACTGAAAAGAGAGTCCACCACCATCAACCTGACTCTTGTGCTTTCTATATTTATAAATAAGGATGAGATCCCATCTCATTCTTCTGCAAGTTGAACACTCCCAGAATCCTCAGCCTTTTCTCATAAGGAAGATCACCAGGTTGTTAATCATCTTTGTCACCCTCCACTGGACCCTTCCTAGGATCTTCCTGTCTATTTTGAACTGGGGAGCCCAGTACTGGACGCAGTATTCCGGATATGGCCTCACCAGGGCAGAGTAGAGGAGGAAGGATCATCTCCCTCGCCCTGCTGGGGACGCTCTTCTTAGTATCAGGATACCATTGGCTTTCTTGGCCACAAGAGTGCACTGCTGGCTCATGACCAGCTTGTTGTCCACCTGGATGCCCAGGTCCTTTACTGCAGTCATCATCAAGTTCTTCTCCACCCAACTCTCTAGTCTGTCCAGGTCTTGTTGAATGGCAGCAGAACCTTCTAGTGTCAGTCACTCTTCCCAGCTTTGTATCATCAGCAAACTTGCTGATTCTATCTTTTCATGCAGGTCACTGATGAAGATGTTGAACAAGACCAGACTTGGCACTTTCCCTTAGGGATCACCACTAGTTACAGCCCTCCACCTAAACTCTGTGCCACTGAACACAACCACGTGAGCTCTATTAATCAGCCAGTTCTCAGTCTACCCCACTGTCCACTCAGTTATCCTATATTTTCTGAGCTTTGTTACAAAGCTGTTGTGGAATTCAGCACTGGTGAGGCCGCACCTCAAGTACTGTGTCCAGTTTTGGGCTCCTCACTGCAAGAAAGATATTGAGGCCCTGGAACGTGTTCAAAGGAGGGCAACAAAGCTGGTGAGGGGTCTGGAACACAGGCCATATGAGGAGAGGCTGAAGGAGCTGGGAATGTTCAGCCTGGAGAAGAGGAGGCTCAGGGGAGACCTCACTGCTCTCTATAACTTCCTGAAGGGAGGTTGTAGTGAGCTGGGGGTCGGCCTCTTCTCTCGTGTCATTAGTGATAGGACCAGGGGGAATGGCTTCAAGCTACAGCAGGGGAGATTCAGGCTGGACATGAGGAAGTATTACTTTTCGGAAAGGGTGGTCAGGCACTGGAATGGATGCCCAGGGAGGTGGTGGAGTCACCGACCCTGGGGGTGTTCAAGGAAAGACTGGATGTTGTGTTGAGGGACATGGTTTAGTAGGAGCTGTTGGGAATAGGTGAATGGTTGGACTGGGTGATCTTTTAGGTCTTTTCCAACCTTGGTGATTCTATGATTCTATGATTCTGTGAATTCAATGTCAAATGCCCTGCTGAGGTCAACGTATACAGTATCCACAGCTCACCTCCTGTACACCCAGCTCGTCATGACATGGAAGGGTAACAAGTTGGTCAAGCATGATTTCTCCTTGGTGAATCCGCATTGACTGCTCCTGATTGCCCTCTCTGCCAATAGCTTGGAGGTAGCATGCAAAACAAGTTGTTCCATCACCTTCACACAGGCAGAGGTGAGGCTGACTAGCCTGTAGTTGCCAAGATCCTCCTTCTTGCCCTTTTTGAAGACTGGAGTGATTCAGTGTTCCACTGTTCAGGGACCTCTTCTGTTCTCCAAGACTTTTCAAAGTTCTGTGTGGGGAAAACAATTTTGTGCAGTCTTAAGGACGAGAAATACTAGACAGAAATGCCACAACTTCCCCATGTTTGTGTCCACGTTTTTTAAGTGCTTGTGAAAAATCAAAGGTCAGTTAGAATCAGAGTGCCAGTGTTGTTATAATAGGGCTCTGATTGTAGTCTCAATTTATATATGACAATACAAGACTGTAAGAGTTGAAGAGTTTGCTTCTCTTGTCATAGTTTTCTTAATTATTGTACTCTTTCCCCCATATTTTTATTAGCCAAGAAAAATTCCATCCTTGTATTCTTAATTTTTGTACCGTATGGAAGTATTGGAATGTGAGTATTAATGGTCTGGTTGCATTTTGAACTCCAGCCAGAAAAATTCTTGATGAATTCTGAGAACAATTGGAGACATTCTGTGTTACATATTTGACAAGCCTAAGAAATGTCAGCTGTTGGCCGAGAGCTATAAATGTGAAAACAGTCAACTGTCTGCTCTTTTCTGTGTCTAACTGACTGTTTACATGGAGAAGTGGAGAGGAAACAGTTAACTAAAGCACAGTTTGTGCCCTTCAAAGAACTTCTGGATTGGGTCTTGGGTACTCCAGCCATTATTTTTACATCTAATGTGCTCTATTAGCTTTTCTACATTTCTTTGTTAGTAAAACCATCGAGCTAGGTTTATGCCAAGCACATAACAACTCCTTGAAGCCTCTAATAGTTATACAAGGATTAATCATATGTATACATGTTCCCAATCTTGTTGCAGACTATATGTTGATATATCCCAGATGTATTATCCATAATTGAATTTAGTAGCATTTCCAGTAATTAAATACTATTGATGAGTTGGATTGTTCTTCTAAATTAGATTATTCTGAATAAAATTGATGAGGATGACTAAGAAAGCCTGGTTCTGTAAATCTTGAGGAATTTGGTGAACAAACTGTAGCCAGCCCAAGGAAGTCTTCTCTGTTTAGTGCCTTAGTTCTAATCATTAGTCTTTTTGTTGTTGTTAACAATGGTGTTGTGGTGAAACATAGTCAAAACCTGTCTAAGGTACAAGAATAAGCTTACAGGTTTTCACTGTGTGGATCTTGAAAGGTTCTACACTAAGGTGAGCGTTATAGCAGCATTCATGATTTGTTTAGAAGGAATATGAATGCTGAAATCTGTCTTTGGTGGAAAAGATGAGGGCAGATTGATAAGTCAACTACAGAACTGCATAAGCATGAAGTGCATGGATGATAAAATGATGGATGAAGTAAATGCAAGCTCTGTTATCCAAAATTTTTCATGTCTTGTTTTGTTCCATAATTTGGAACTTAGTGCATATTTGCTCCTGCGAAGAAAAGTTTTGAAGAAAGATTGTGTGAAATAAATATTCACTGATGTCTCTTTGCAACATTGCTTAAGGAAGAAGAGTCAGATAATGAAGAAAACTTCATTGACCTGAATGTTCTGAAGGCACAAACATACAGATCAGTAAGTTGAAGTTGCTACCTGTCATTCCTTGCTACCTGTCGTTCCCCTCTTTAGAGATTTTTACTTCTTCAGCAGAAATTTATTTCTGTTGAAGTCCAAAAATACATATACAGTCTGTGCTTGAGAAAAACATGCCAGCTGGAACACATCAGCTTATTTTAAAAGAACACTGTATTTCTGGTTTCTAAATGGATATTGCTGCAAGATTGATATATTATAGTTCATCTTGATATACATTTCATTTTTTTGAATTCTAAATGTACTGAAAAGATGTATTTAATTCCTAATATTTAAGAATTCAAAGAAAGACATTTAAAGATTCAGTTGTATCTGTAGTTCTAGTGGATATATGTGTACTTCTGAATATGACTGCTGTGAGCCATTGTAACTTGACAGTTGTTGCTGAGTATAAAAATTATGTTTTGTATGTAAAATTTGTGGGTTTCTTGCAGGATGTGAAAGACTCCACAAAACAAGAAGAAATCTTGCTGTCCACAACAGATGCAGCAGAGTGGAATCTGGAAGTGGAACGTGTGCTTCCACAGCTGAAAGTTACAGTCAGGACTGACAATAAGGTTTGTGAGAGTGGATTTTCACATGCATGCATGGTGATTAAAGTGCACTTTGAATCAGCAGTGTTATTTTTCTATTTCCATTTTTTTCTTCTTTTGTCATGTCAGGAATTAAACCATGTAAATCACAGGCTTTCCAATGCTATCTTCTCTGAACCTTTGTCACTTACTTTGAAGCTAGAAGCAATAATTTTCAATAGGGTGTTTTCCAGTGTAATGTAAGAACAGTGACTGCTTCTAGCTTTATTTCTGTGGAAACTTCCTAAATCATTAAACATTTCTGAAAAATTATGCCTTCAGTTTAGCAGCTATTAAAGCATTTCCTAGAAGAAAAGAAGCTTCTTACCTTGTAACTGTTTGATTTTTTTTTTCCAACCACTTAAAAGGTTGATTTCAGAGAATTCATCTTGCTGAACTTTAAATTATGTAAAATAGGTCTGTACCTCTGATCTAGTCATTACATTTCCTTGTGTTTAATGAAAAGAAGTGCAAGTTTAATTTTATTTACCTATCCAGATAGCTACCTCAAGATGAAATTTATCATTTCTTAGAAATGTGTTTTTCTTACCATAATCTATTCCAAGGAATCTAGAATGAGCAGCTCAGAAACACGTCTGTTTTTGACACATCAGAGTCCAATACTAGAATGTATTCTTCACATTGCCACAAGCATTCTTTCTGAGAGTTTGCATAGCCCGCATAGATGAGTGCAGTATTGAACCTGTGTGTTGGTAGTGGCCCAGCTGGTTGAGGTGGTGGAGCAACCTACAGTGATGCAGAATTCAGTGGAGGATAATTATCTTGCCCAAAATAGACTAAACTCTCAACTCTGTTAAAATGTCCTGCCTGTCTGTACTGCATTCTTCTAAGTGAAGAATCTCCTGGTTTGAGTCACTGTGCTCTGGCTTGCTAAGGCAAGCTTGTTACAGATAACGTGGTGGTTGATTCTCAAAGGAAGAAATTAAAGCTTAATGAAGACATACATAGAAAATGAAAGCCACTGAGATTTGCTATCTTCCAAATTAACACACTGTTCGTTGATTTTAAGGAATGTGTCAAAATGAATATGAAAAGAGGATTCTTCTTTTTCTAGCTTGTGTACTTTAATGCTTTTAGAAATAACTTAAAAGAAGTTGGTGAAGGGTTTGGAGCACAAGTCTCATAGGAAACAGCTGAGGGAACTGGGATTGTTTTGTCTGGAGAAGAGGAGGCTCAGGGGAGATCGTATCGCTTTCTACAGTTCTCTGAAAGGAGGTTATGGAGAGGTGGGGATCAGCCACTTCTCCCAGTTAGCTAGTGATGGGATGAGAGGTGATGGCCTTAAGTTGCAGCAGGGGAAGTTCAGATTGGATATTACGAAAAAATATTTCTCAAAAAGAGTAGTGGTACATTGGAACAGGCTGGCCAGGGAAGCGGTGGAGTCACCTTCCCTGGAGTTGTTCAAGAAAAGGGTAAACGTGGCATGTGGTTTGGTGGGCACGGTGGTGATGGGTTGATAGTTGGACTAGATGACATTCTGTAAGAAAAGCCTCATATTGGTTATGTGAACTGTGCATGCATATTTGATACCAGGAGAGGTTAATGGTTTAATTGGCAACATAGAAATGGAAACTTATTTTTAAGGTCCTAGGCAGGGGTGGGAGGTGTGTGTGTGGGGGGGTATATATGTTGTAAGTCTACAAAATTTGGCAAATTAATAGCAGTTGTCACCAGACCAGCAAAAAGATCTTGAGTTGCTGCAAACTTGAAACTCAACATGTAGTGTAAGCACATTTCTCTACTAGCTTTTGTTTTAATTCTGAAGAGAATAGTGGGCAGCAGCACAGTTCTAGAAAGCAAATGAAATCTCATTGGCTGAACAGCTGTTGGAGATGCTCAGCTGTGCTCATATGTGATAGAGACAGAGGCACCACTAGTGCTGTGGTAGTTACACGCATTTAAAGCCAGTGGAACTGCTTTTGATTGAATGATGGCATGTGTTTAAGTGCAGCTCTGCCAAGTCAGGATCCGTTTTGTTCCTGTCAAAAATGGTCCCATCTTTCAGGAGCACAGAACCTGGAAATTTGTCTTGCTCAGGTGCTCTCCCTTGGACAAGCATACCGACCTGCACTGGCTTATATGTGGCCAGCCTCTCTATTCCCCAGGGAACCTCTTCCAGGGCCCCACCGCCCTCTGAGCTGACCCTGTCCCTAACCCCCAGCTGCCCCTCCCCTGACACAGCTCCATATCGTTCCCTCTGGCCCTGTTGCTGTCACACAGAGCAGACCTCAGCGCTGCTCCTTTATTCCCCTTGTGAGGGACTGCAGGTGCCATGAGGCTTCCTCTTCTGCTCTACGCTGAACTAAGAAATCTTAGCCTCTCATTTGCCTTGCCCTTCAGACCCTTCCCTTCTCTGATAGTTTGTTCTTATATTGTGGTGCTCAGAACTGTACATAGTGCTTGAGATGAGGCTTAAGAGAGCTGTGCCTGATGCACCTCAGGATACAGTTGGCTCTTTGGGTTGCCATGGCACACAGTTGACTCAGATTCCACTTGCTGTAAGCCAGAACTTCCAGACCCCATTCTGCAGAACTGTTCTCCAGCCTCTCACCCCCCAGTCTGTACATATACATACCCAGGGCTACCCTGTCCCAGGTCCAGAATCTGGCACTTTTTCTTGTTAAACTTCATGTGGTTGGTGATTGCCCAGATCTCTGTGAGTATCTCTCTGCTAGGTCTCTGTGCCCTTGAGAAGTTCCTTCCCAATCTCCTTGTTTTGCACACTGCTTTAGCAGCTTGCAGAGTTGCACCAACCCTTGCTGCTAATGCCTGGGATTTACAGGTTTGCATTCTTACCAGTTGGAAGGTGAAGTTGTGTCCTCTTTGAAGTGTTGTCTGAAGTTTCTTGATAGCAGACTGGTTAGTGTGATTGATCATGTTTGCTTCTTTTCAGTATCTCTTACTGTTTTTCTGACAAGTGTCTCTGTGTTGTTTATTCCCTTCCCTTTTTCTTTTTCATCCCCTTTAGACGAGGTCCTCAATCAAATGATGTTACTGAAGTAAATTTTCATATGTTCTGCATATCCATTAGTGTAACTGGCAAGATGTTTGTTACCTCTTTGTTACTAAAGAGGCTTGTGCCTCTTTGTTTTGCTTCCCCCTTTTCTTTATTGTCCTATTTGACAAGGTCCTTGATCAGGTAATCTTACTGAAGCAAACATTGTCGTCTTCCATACCTATGCCCATACCCTTACAGTACCTCCTTTAGAAGGAAGTATCCTAGGGTTTGATTTCAGGTGATGGAGTTTTGTTAACATCAGTTTTCTTATCATGTAGACCAGAACAGTGCCAAGTGTTTAAAAACCTTGACAGTCTTTTTTTTTTCTTTTTTTTTAAAAAACATTTTCAGAAACACAATGCTGAAATAGAGATAATTCTGCAGTGCTTCTGCTTTGTTTTGAACTCACAGTTTGCAGCTGTGCTCTGGGTATGAGAGGCATAGAATGTCTGCATTGATAAGCATAAATTGTGATAAATGTTGAGAAATGGAATTGATTTCTAAGTAACAGGTGCCTATCTGTCAAGTTGAAATAGCAGCTTTTTCTCATTCTCCATACCTAAATCCATGTGTGTTTCCTATGACAGAGCAGGTGCAAATAATTATCCCCATTCCAGTCTTGTCCCAGTGTTGAAAACAAGCTCAGTTATTTCTGCCTATTTAATTTCTTTCTGTTTTTATGGTAACAGTTGGGGTTAAGTAGGAAGAAAAGATCTGATAGTCTGGAAGTGGTAGTTGTTAGATAGTTGAAGCATGCTTGTTCTCTAAGAACAAGCTGAGCTAGTGCATCTGTAGTCAATATTTTCAACATTTGTGCCTGTAGTGGTTTCTAGGAGAAACAGTCTCACGAAGATCAATCAGACTGTAAAAAATATAGCTACTGTGGTATTAGTGAGGAGGTCAATGTTTGTTTATGGGTCTGAGTGTCACATTGGGACATTTAGGAGATCAATGAACTATGTCATGCTGTGCCAATGCATCCAGATATCAGGATGTCAGTGAAAGAATCATATATGCTAGTAGAAGTATGTATGAGAACTCAGCCTGTTTTGCATACCAGTATATGTTTAGTAACAAGAGAAGCATAAAAGCTGTATTTACTTATCTTTTACTTCATGGCATCCTGTTTTTAGGATTGGAGGATCCATGTAGATCAAATGCATCAACATAAGGATGGAATTGAATCTTCTTTGAAAGAAACTAGGGTATGTATTATGTGCAGAATATTTCACTGGTCTGCTAGTACCTCTATTTTGTTTTTCATTTTATATGCCTCTGTTTTATTTCTTCATTTTAATTATAATAATGTAAAACTCAAAAGGGAGATGTGATAATGATGATTACAGATAATAGCACTGGCAAAAGATCTTGCTCACAACAGAGTCATATGTTAACAAGGATGTAAATGTTCATTACTGTGTCATATCACTTTGCCCTCTGTTTTCAATATGTTATAAATACAGAGAGCAAAATGATACGACATAAACTGAAAATAAGAGCTAATTAAAAAAAAAAAAAAAGAAAAAAGTTCTCAAATGCTCTTGCTAGAATAATTTACTAGCATTGACATTTGTAATTATTTGGGGAAGGATACTGAGAGAATGGCGAAGTGCTGGAACAGGCTGCTGAGAGGTTGTGGATGCCCTGTCCTTGGAGATGTGTAAGGCCAGGTGAGGTGGAGTACCGGGTAGTCTGATCTAATATTTGATGTAGTGGTTGGCAACCCTGCCTGTAGCAGACGGCTGCAGCTTTATGATCCTTGGGGTTCCTTCCAACCCAAGCCATTCTGTGACTGAAGGAATTGGTAGAACTTGAAATATGTGTTGTGGCACTGGGAAAAAAGACATTAGGACCATTTATTCACTGGTCAGACACATTTCTGTACTATTTTTCGCTATTACTTGTAGCATTCCGTATCCTTTCTTAATTACAGCACCATTTTAATACTCTTTGGGTAATGTCTGCATGCTGTCAACCCACACAATATGGTTTTTTAGGGCTACCTTGACAAATTCCATAATGAAATCAGCCGAACGTTGGAAAAGATCAATAGCAGGGAAAAGTACATCAACAATCAGTTGGAGCATTTGATTCAAGAATACCGTTCAGCACAAGCCTTGCTGAGTGAGGTAATGCACTGATCTGTTGCTTCCTTGTCTAATATTAACGTGAGGGTAAAGACAAAGAATCAGAGTTGTTGTCTGTGAATTCTTCTTTTGGATATAAAGCATGGGAAATGCTGATTGGCTGTCAAATTATATAGTTTTTAAGCTAAATTAGCAATTTTTATTCAAGTATTCTACAAGGGAAATTAAATGTTTTCTTGCCTGAATATTATGTAAATCGGCTGCCACAATCTTGAGCAGCTAGTAAATTGCTGGTTCTGCTTTCCCTATGAAGTTCACACATCTGTGATGAGTGAAAAAGCTACAGCTTCAGTTCAGCATTCATCTCTTATGTTGATTACTCATGCTAACTTGCACAAAGCTCTCTGATTACTTGTTTACTTCATTTATTTTTTATGCCAATAGGCTAATGCTTGAGAATCTTTTTGATTCTTTAGTTAGCGGGCCTGTGTAAGCTACCAGTTGGTTAGCTCTCCTATTTGAGGGCTTGACTATAAAATCAGACTAGCAGGGTTTGACCTCTGTGCTTTCTGTTTGTCTGCTGTTAAACGTCAAGACAGTAACGTACTGAATAGAAAGAAGCCTTCTGGGTTTCGAGATTCAATTCAGTCTGCATTCTGGCAAACTTTCTCTATGCAAGTTTTCTCATGTAAGTCTACCAGGAAACCTGCTTCTTACTCTTACGCATTGAGGCTGCCACTTACAACTTCTAAAACTGCTTTCCTGTTTTGAATGACGGTCACTGCATAGGCTGATGTCTTCAAGTCTTTATATTTGTAGTGCTGTAAATGTCATTGTGATTTCATGGGAGAATTTCTAGAATTGGGACATGTAAAAGCAAATTTTGGTGTTCTCTCTGAAAAATTCACATTATTAATTATTAAAGACTAATTGTTATTAATGATTCTGCTGTTCGAATTTTAGAGACCCACTTTATTAAGTAGATACTGAAGAGTCTGGGATACAAGCATCTCTTCAGTGAAAAATGTGTTTCTTTGCAGGCTAAGGAGAAGTATCAGGAGGGAAGTGGAGGAGTAACTGAAAGGATTAGAGTCCTTTCTGAGGTAAAACACATCTTCACATTATTTTTTGCCTCCCTTGAATAAATCATTGGAGAATTGACATCTAGCATTCCCAGATTTATGAACTGAGCTCTTCCTGATATGTTGTGTTAAAATTTATTATGTTCTTTCAGTGAGAGCTGATTAACCTGGCCCCTAAATTTTAAACTGAGGTTGCTATTGGTTTTTGATTTCTGAATTTGGACAAACTATTATGAGCTCTAAATTTCACCAGTTTGTGAAGCAGTGAAAATATTCTGTATTTCATAACCTGTCTCCTAGCATTATTGAAGATTAATGTACTCATGTCCATAAAGTCTTTGGAATTCTAATACCAATCAAATTATATTAATACCTAAAACTGTTTAATCAATGGTTTGACAAATTTAAGAAAAAACTCCTAATGGCCTTAACATGTGGACTGTTTCAATCTGTTTTCACTTAGATTTACTGCTAGATTTCCAAATATTTCTACCCTTTGTGCAGTTCAGATTTTTTTTTTTTAATGATTCTCTTATTTGACTCTTTAGTCAAATACTGCATTTACTGTGCATTTACTGCACTTTATTAGATGCTAAAGGATCTGGAATGGTAACGTAAAATAGATCACACCATAAGAATATGATGGAAAATGTACAGTAGACTTGAGATTTTTTTTTTAATGTAATAATAGTCACAGAAGTTTAACAAGGGTTTTTTAGCAAGGAATTCTTAGTATGGCATTTGTACTATTAGCCCTTCTTTCTGTTTGATTCTCAAGGAAGTTGACTTCAGATTTACTTGCATGATCTTTTTTACCTTAATAAAAAAAAAGTTGATTATTAAAGAAATATGTTACGAGTTGGTGGCCTTTGAAGTATATTGATGCAGCAGTACATATCTGAGCTAAACTAGGCTCATTGGATATCATTCCTGATCTGCTTTCTAATCTAGAAAGGATTAAAATTTAATTTCATGGAATCAAATCTCAGCCTTCTTGGCAATATAAGTACCACTGCAGGTATGCAATGAAAGTGCAGCCATGTTTTTTTGTTGTTGCTGTTTAATGGAAGGGCTTACTGAAGCCTTAATGAAAGGCCATTTTTATAATGGCCTTTTTTATACAGACAAAAAATAATAGGTTGTTATCTACATTCTGCCTTGGAATATAGTTGCTTTGTCATCAACAAAGGCAAACTGGTCGATAGTCAGTGTTGAAATGTATTTTTATTCTTCACGCATGGATTCACACGTGCCAGTGCCAGTAGGCTTGCCTGCTGCACCATCATTTGCTGCAGTGCTATTTCTCGTTGTTTTTTTTTTTTTTTTGTCACCTGCCAAAGTCCTGCCACTATTAAAGGGCATCTTTAATGGTCATTTGGTAAATCTTGGTCTGTGAGGATAATGGTTCTTTTCTCCCATCTACTCTGCAGCAATGTTTGCACTTTGTTTTTATTGGTTATGGATCCTCAGTAACGTTTCTCTTTGGCTGATGTTCTGCATAGGATTTATCTTTTTTTTTTTTTTTTTTTTTTTTTTTTGAAACATCCATGTTTCAAAAGGCTAATGAAAATTTTCCTAATTTTTTTTTTTTTTTTTTTTTTTTTTTCCCCTAAACAATCAGAAAAATTCCTCTTTTTACCACAAGACAGACGCTTTTTTTCAACTGACATGTTTATTCAGGAGGGAACTTTAGATTTCTTTTTAACTTTTTATTCATCCGGTTTAATGAATAAAAAAATCTCTAATTAAAGATTACAGAAGTTTTAGAGAAAGTGAAGCAGGAAACAGAAGAGAAAGGAAGCAGTATGACTGATGGCAGTAAGTATGGTTTTGCCTCAAACTATCCACCCAATTTCTCAGTGACAGATGCATCATTGGTACTGTGTGGAAAAAATAACCAGAAATGAGTGACAAGTCTAAAATATCCATATTAAGATTTTAAAAGATGTCTAAGAAAATTACGCATCTTACCCTCTTCAAAAATGTTATGCAAGTCTGTAGAAGGTTCAAATTATTTTACTCTCAAATCACTACTGAGAGTAAGCATTGGAATTCCCTCACTAATGCTAAAGGAAATGGGTGAGAAAATTAATTTTGGTGCTGAAGTCTGAATTTTTTAATATCTAAAACTATGCACTGAGAATTAGGTGTAATTTTTCCTGATAAAGTCATTCTTGGCAAATATTACAAGTACTAATGCAGAAGTGAGTAGAAGTGAATAGCAAGGCTAAGTGTGCAAGCTGTATCTGTATTTTATTGTAACCACTATGGCTAACTGACTTAAGTGATTGTAAGTGTTACTGTGTAAAGAAATTTTGTTCAGTGTTCTTGAGTGAAAGAGCTACTCAGCTACCTCTCAGCACCTTAACTGTACTGTGACCTGGTCAAGGATCAGGATAAACTCTAGAGCCCAGAATTATAAGGAGCTGTATGATGTGTCAGCAGCATCTATAAAGTGATATTAGTGGGAAGTGATGGGTTACAAGTAAGGTATGGAGCACAAAACATTTCAGTAGATTTTCACAGGTAAAATAGCCTCCTGCTGAGGGTGTCTTCAGTTCCCTACAAAACCCCAAGTCAGATGTGAGGGTGAGGCTTTTAGCTGAGCAAAACACATCACTGGTAAACCAAGCTTAATGATTATGCACGTCTTTATGCAGATCTCAGCTGTTGAGAAGACAGTAAAATTGTGTCTGCCATTTCTATCTTTAAAGCATAATGTATCAGTTCAATCATGACTTTGAAGTAGAACATGCTTTTGTTCAATCACTTTTTCGATCTTAAGGAGTGAATTGTAGAATGTAATGCTTCTGTGTTAAATCACCTGACACCAAGTTGCACTATTTATCTTTTCTCGGACAGCTCCTTTGGTGAGGATTAAACAGGCCTTAACAAAACTGAAGCAAGAAACCATTCAGATGGACATTCAAATTGGTGTAATGGAACACACGTTGCTCCAGTCAAAGCTTAAAGAGAAATCCAATATGACCAGAGATATGAATGCAGCAATGATACCAGAAGCTACAATAGGTGCCTACTGAAATTGTTTGGAGCTGACTTGGTTTGCCCAAAATAAAGTTTTCTATTGTTTGCTTTTTTGGTAGTGTGGTGGTTTTCTTTTTGTTTGGAGAGAGTGATGGGTTGTTTGTTCTTGTTTTTGTGTTGTTTTTTTTTTTGCTTTTTTTTTTGCTTTGGTGCTAACAGGATGCTTGTCATTCACTTTTAAAAAGAGTAGCATGCACTCTTTGGACTCAGAATGGAGCTGTGTTTAGATTTGGGCTATAAGGATTTGCTGCAGATCCCTTCAAAATATATTAATGAGTTATTATTACTGCACGTGTCTCTCTGTTTCGCTGGAGAATGAAAAGCTATAAAACATAATTGACAGCCTGTAATCTTGATATTCTACAGTGCTGAAAGAGAAATGCTTGCAAAGGACTTAAAAAGAATTACTGCCATTTACTTGCTTTTAGTAGAAAGTATTTAATTTTTGACAGTGAAGTGAAGATCAGCGTCAAGTAGTGTCTACTGTATCTGACATTCACACGGAGCGTGGATTGTGTTCCCAGCCCTGCACGACTTTGGTCTAGTAGCTTTTTTCTTTAGCTCTTTGGTGGGTGGATACATAGTATTTCATTCAAGAGCTGAAATTCTGACTATAATTATTCACAATTAGAACAAAGCAGGATGTGTTCTGCATAGGTGAGTAGTTGGATGTGTGTTTCTAGGTTGTTTTGAAACAAGTGAACCAAGATTATTTTTTCCTATATTTTCAGTAAGGATTACAATTTATTCTGTGACCTTGATGTTCAGATGACGCAGCAACTTCACTCCTCTCTTTCTGTAAACTTGCTGATAAAACCGTGATTAACTGCAAAGAAATATTTAGTCAGTAAAGGTGGGAAGGAGGGCAGCAGCAGCGAGTTAACATTGCCATAATTTCAGCATGCTCCTAGATCAGCATACACAACTTTGTCAATAAACAACTATAAAAAACAGCCCCTTTTTCCTTTTTTTTTTTTTTTTTTTTTTTTGTGGGGTGGGTGTAAGGAAGTCCTCTAGGCAGACTGTTACGGGTGGGTTTTGTAGTTATTTTTATGTTTACATTTCTTTTAAACAAAACAAAACAAGTGGTGACGCACTTTGAAAACAGGTTTCCCAAGGAGGCTGTGGATGCCCCATCCCTCCCTGGAGGCATTCAAGGCCAGGCTGGATGTGGCTCTGGGCAGCCTGGTCTGCTGGTTGGTGACCCTGCACACAGCAGGAGGGGGTTGAAACCAGGTGATCATTGTGGTTCTTTTCAACCCAGGCCATTCTATGATTCTACGATATGTATATCCTTTTGATTGCCATTGTTCATAAGCCATGGACAAAATTGGTACAATTCCTGTAATGTTAAGTTACTCTCCTAACTTCTTTAGGTGATTCCATTGATTTTACAATCCAGTTCTCTCACTTAGAGGAAACTCATCAGGTGAGCAGTGTTTAACAAAACAGATAAGCTGTTTTGTATGTGAAAGTTGAGATACTAGATACAGTCAATAAGATAACCCAGTTTGATAACTTCATTGTGCTTCAGCACTTCGTTTGTCAAAAAGAATAAGATTTAAAACCATTAGGTTTTAATAGGTGAAAAGCTGCATCGTAAATGCTGAATATTATAATTTACCTGCACAAGCCAACTGTTGAAAATCCCTATGAATCACACTGGAAATCAGTTTCCAACTTCTTTTGCTGCCTACCTATATCCTCCCACACTCAGTTTAAATTAGGAAAGTATTATTCATGTTCACGTTGTTAGGTGGTGTTGTTACTGTGTATCTACTTCAGCAGTGGGTTTACTTAAGATAAAACAACCCTCTTCTGTATTGCCTGCAAAGTACATTGATGTTTTTGAATTGAAAATGTTGTGCTGTTTATGTAAATACTTTCCCCCAAAAAACCTCCTGCTTCATGCTAACACAACAAAATTAATAAAAGAGCACTTCACTTACCCTGATGTGAATTGAACCTCTTTCAGTATTAGAAGTGAATCTATTGAGGGATGAGTCAGACAAGCACAGCCAGAAAAAACTGATGTGGTACAAAAATCTGCAGAAGAAAAGCTATCCTTCTTTATGCCTAAGTAATTCTAAAATAATGTGGTAATTGTGTGCAGTTAGTCTACATTATTTTAAATGGTCCTCCTTGAAATAGCATTAATCTAAGCAGGACAGCTATGTTATCTCAAAGGTCATATGTTGCCCTTAATTGTCATCTGACAGAATGCTGTTTGCTCATTTAAATTGCTAAAAAGCAATTTTCTAATCCAGGAAGTAGCCACACCACCTTCCTTAAAAGCAGAAAGCAAAAGTCTCTGTCACAGGCAGCTGTTCTAGAAAGGCATTTGTCTGTGTGATTATTCATCTGCTGGATCACTTCAAGAAGCAGGAATCTTACTAAATCACTTGAGTCATGCTATTTCATACATTGCTCATGTCTAATGCTGTGTCAGAACTGAAGGCCAATAAAATGAATGTGTCCTTGAGACAGCAGGATACACATGAAGCTGCACTGTGCTTCGTCTGAAGAATTCTGGGGGCAGAAGCACTACTCGTAGGAATGAACTCTTATATAGAGCTCTCCTTTTCTAAGGCCATGTACTGTTTTCAATCCTCTGAAATGCTGGTTAGCATGGAAGCACCATATCACTGTTACATGACATCTAGAAGTCAGACAGATTGTAAGTAGTGCAGATGGAGGAGGAACAAGGAGTTTGATTTGATGCATCTGGTGAGAGGAACTGTGGTTTTTGTCCTTGCCATGAGGACTGCAGTAGTTCAGTCTTACATATGGCTCATGCAAGAGCTGAGACTTGGCTCTTAGAAGTGTGTGACTGAGGAAAGCTCATCTGGATCCAGCTTACTCTCCTGCACTTACTCCCCAAAGCTCCAGAAGGAGAATTAGCAGTGTTTTACTTCTTAGGCTCTCTGTGGTATGAAATCCTGCTGAACTCACCATAGGGTGAGTTATATCCTGTGCTGTCTTATTGCTGGGCTAGAATGCAAGGCATGCAAGAGCCCTTCTAGGAACTAGAGTAGCCTTGGTGATTGTTACCATATTAAATGTGTTGTTTATGGTCCATTGGGTATGTTTAAAAGTTGTGCCTTATTTACTGAAGCAAGAATGTAATGCATTTATTATTCCAGTTCCTTTACCTTCTGATGTGATTTGCTGAGAAGTATGTGCTGTGCTGGTAAAAGAATTCAAAGGAAGGGCTGGAATTTTTGTCTCACCCCATTCTCACATAGAGAACGAACCTCCTGTGGAGTTAGTTAGTGACTTAATATTGACATTGCAAGAGTTTAATAGCGGCTATTCAATCCTATGCCAAGAATTCAGTAACGAGACATGAGGTAGTTCTTTGAACTTGCATCAATGAGAGCTGTGCAGGAAAGGTGTCGTTCACATGAATTTGAGAAAAAACTTCCTTTTACAAACATCTCCCGGATCTGATTAAAGTATCACCACTTCCTTCTGCTGCTGACATTAAAAGTCTTCGCTCTACATGAGATAGAGGGGCCTCAGGGAAAATTCCTTGAACAGGGAAGAAAATGTCCACCTACTGTTAAACATTGCCACGCATTTTCAGAGTGTAGCCCTGCTGCACGCTGACATACAATGAAGAACTGTCACTAATTGTGTTACAGTAAGAGCAATTATGTAGTCTGTGCATGACCTATAAACAGGACGAGGCATAAATAAGGAGCCTGTGTGCGAACATTTCCAGTTTCAGAGCTCTTTGAATTATGCATCCAAATTTTGCAGCCTGGGCTTCTCTCCAAACTTGACAAATGTTAATTAAAAGAAAAGAAATTAGCATGGTGCTGTTTCTTTTCATGCTGACTGTCCTCCCTCTCGCTGAATGTCAGTGCTGCAGTGTGCCTCCACAGTGCAGCTGCACGTGCGTGTGCGCATGCGGTGTGCATCCTCCCACTTGTCGTTCCCTGAAACGAGCAGTAGACTTTGACAGAATGAAAACAAGACTGTGGATACCCTGCCCATACCTGCTGACTCATTAAAGTTTTTCCAAATGGATGAGTGTTTTCTGGCACTGGCTTGAATTAAAATGTGAAATAAAAAAAAAAAGCCTGCCCTATGACATCAGTGCCTGTGAGCTTGAGTAAACAGGCAACGAGTGCCAGCTTTTCAATACGAATGCTCCTCATAGGTGGGGGATTTCCACAAGAGGCTGTGAGGTTGCAAAAGGTATTTTTGCCTGCTGCTTCCTCCTCTTAGTGCATTTCTCTCCTCTCTTATGCAAACACCATTACTATGGTTACTTGGTTAATACTAGTTAATGCCAGATCTTGGTGTTGCTGGAAATGTCTGACTTTCACGTACCTAGTAACAGCGTTGCCCTTCCGGAGACAATTCTTGGGGAACACAGATCTGAGCAGGTTTGAAGCTTCTCACTGCGAGCAATTGAGAACAATGTGAGTAATGCTAGCCTTTCACTGCCTGGCTATAGTTTTACTCCATTCTTTTCCACTCCTGGTCTGAGGTAAATAGGAGTGAGTGGTTGTACTTCCATACTCCTTTCAAGACATGAGATGTGCTTGTTATTCATGCATCTTGTCTGTCTGCTGCAAAAATTGAGAAAGGTGGTTGGAAGTGCAAAAAAAGTTTTAACACTATTTCTCTTATGACTCAGTAACTGTAGTCATTCATTTAAAATGTTTTTCTGCTTTCATGGCTTTCAAAAGATGACAATAGTTCAAACTGCACTTTAGCATTATTCAGTAGTTACAAGAAGAATTGTAGATTGTAGGCCTCCTGTGGACCAACACTTTCCTATTTCTGCTCTGATTTTTGGCCTGAAGTTGGTCAACCCGTCCTGGGAGGGGGTTTCTGGTAAGATTTCTGGGAGTTCCATCAGCCCGTTAGCCTTTTACCTCCTTTGAAAGAAACCATTTGCAAAGAACAAAAAGCATTAGTCAGAGGAAAGGATAGGCTGATTGGGACATTTTGCAGGAAACTAGTTCCAAAAAAAAACAATGCAGAAGGTCTGGAGAGGCTTTATAGCATCTGTTGGTCATCATTTCCTTTGTTAAGTACAC